GATAGCAAGGCTTTATATTATTTTGAAAAGTCAAAAACAATGCTTACAAAGCACCAATATGATGTACCCAAAGGACGCACTATTTTTTTTTCCATTTCACCATTCAGGTAACAGTTCACCACTTCTAACTGAATTTAAAAAAATATTCCTTAAAGCCAAAAATAATGGGAAAACATTGATATCACCTATTGCTTCGTGAAATAGGGCAGACAGCAGTGCATAACCGGCAAAAATGTATTACCTTACCTGTAATTCTCTGTTAAACCCGGATCCGTGAAGCCGGTGTGCACACGAACGCTCCCCAGCTTCTGCTAAAACCTCTCCCGGCCACTACCGCTTCTTAAGAGAGGGACACACGACAGTCATTCATTCACAAAATGTCACATTTTCGACTCGTGTAGTGTCCGGCCAGTCAGCGCACCGCAAAGCCTGTGCAAGGCTTTTGAGGACGGTTTGGAGGGAGCCCGGTTTTTTTTCTGGTTAGAAACTCAATCTCACATACAGTAGCGGGCCCATCTGGGAACTGTCACAATTGACAGCAGCGTCGGGCACAGGCGAGATCTTCTGCAAAATGCTGCATACTCACACCGCGCTGTCTCTCTCACACACGCATGCACAAATGCAGAAACCGTCCTTACAGTTAGTCCAAAAAAATCTGTGTTGTTTTCATTAATTCGTTGTATTTGCACAACCTTCTCTCGGATAGAGTGGCCGTGCAGAGACTTTTTGGTCTGTCTGGCTTTGCAGCGAGAGCTGTGGTTTATGTCATCGTATAGGTCTGACTGCTAGACAGTCAATGTCCAGACCCCCTAGACTGACTCATGCAGGTCAGCTCACAGAGCGGAGAAAATGCCTGTGTTTTCAGATGCGCCATTTCTGTCAAAATTTACCGAGGATAAAGTTAGTACAATATCTCCGTAGTAGCACTAACTGCTAACCACCGTAGCAGTCAAAAAACGAAGGTTCCAACGACGGATAACGTCGGCAGACGAAACTCCGTATTCGGTCAAAACAACTCTCCGAGCATTTGTACTTTGTAAGTCTATTTTATGTTTTATTTTTATACGGTTTATGTGGTTTATTTTTAATGTGAGGTTGTCCTTTAATAGTCGTCACGTTAACGCCACGGGGTCATGAATGCGGAGTTTTGTTTCGCCCTATTGGGTGTAAAAAAATTTCGTTTATAAAAAGGTAGGCCTAGGTGTAATATGCTTTACGATAAACTGAATAACACTAAAACCACATTGGATGCTGACATAAAAACCTCTAGAAAAGAATGAAATAGTAACTGGTCAAAAACGGATAGGTATAATAGCTTAACCGCTCTTGATCCGTTGCAATTTAGGAACAAATAACGTGTTTTACAAACTTTTATATATACACCTTTTGAGTTCACACGAGTTATTTCGCTTTATCATCTAACTTTGTTAATGATAAAATTGTTAATATTTTGTTGGTTTAGTTTTGGTTAGTCTATTTTAGCTCTACGAATTAGAAAAGATATTTTTTAATCTTAGCAAACAATTAAGTTAATTTATGACCATTACCAATTAAGCCATTTGAAAAGGCTACTTAGAGCACCGCCGTAAAGAATAATTTTATGTTTCATGCGGTAAATTAAGACACTAAGAGCACATTCGCCGGCTCTGAATTTGGCCGAGGTCAGTATTCTCGGAGCTTATTTCTGAAACAGGGTGTAATTTCCTACATTATGGGCCTATATATATGAAATATTTCTGTGTTATAACCAGATGCAAAGTGTAAACTAACGGGCCGTTGTTCAGGGCCACTGCGATCTTAATTTGGTGACTGAATCGAATCACAGCAGCGACCATATGCTGCTGCTTTTTATTTGTAAATAAAGTTGCTTGTTTTTGTTTGAATTACGAGGCAAAGCAATAATCATATGCGTTGAAATACGTATTGGCGGGTCGCTATAAACTTTGAACAAATGAGAACTGGGCACGTCAGACGGCTCTTTCGGAGAAAACGGGTCTCATACTGCAAAACTGCGTGAACCAGGATACATGTCTGTGAAATATAATATTTACACAAACATCATAGTTTGTTAAAAGAGCAACGTCCGAACGTTGCTAAAATTGCTTCTTTTAAATAGGCCCATATACGTTTAAAATGTTATTAGTCATGTGCAGTTTCAGTAATCAAGGCTTTTTTAATAGCCATCGATATATTTTAGCAAATATGCTTGACAACGGACTGGCACGTTAGGTTGTAGGCTATTTCGCGTTTGGAATGGAATGGAACGGCACGGAACGTAGAACGTGATTACGTCTAGCTGGGGCAGGATGGCTCCTTGCCGTCTGATCTGACGTAAACATGTCTACAGGCTCCCTCGGAAAAAAAGAATGGGGAGAGGAGGGCCTTGGTACTAATCGTTCACAGATGCCTGTAATGCAAAAAAAAATCGTGCGTAGTGCCTGTGTTCTACAATCTATTACCATACAACGCATATGTTACCCATACATTGAATTTTAAAGAAAGGCATATCAGTGAAAGACAAAAGAAAATATTTTATATGGTATTCTTGCTATTTTAATGAAATCAAAGCTCAGCAATGGCATGTTATAAGCCACTAATTCCTTGTTATGTAAAGTATTCTTCTTAGTGTTCATGCAAAAACTATCATGATTTAATTTGTATAAGTTTCAGTTTGCCTTTTGAGTCAGATGAAGTCCTTTCAGATGCTAACTCAGATGATCAGTTAATGTGTGACATTTCGGTAGTGAGAGCGCGGGAGAAGCGCGGAAAAGGTGCCCAACGGATTTGAGGTTACAGATCTGTGATACTTACACTATATCAGGCTTTTGCCATCCCTGATACAGCAGTGGGTCATAATGAGGTCACACGATTATCTACTCCCTTCATCAAATGGGAACAGCCCGGTGATATTATCTAGGACGCCATCTTGACACAGACAACAAATTATCTACAGTTATTAGCGCACATAGTAGACTCGAGGCTCCAGCTAATAAACAGTAACAACCGATTAATTTGCACAATTTCTTGGAATCTTAATCTTAAACAATCGCTATCTTTACTGATATGCGTTGTGGAAGATGTCACTTTAATCACTCTTCATTAAAAGGAGATTCCTACGGTAAAAAACAACGCATTTCCTGCATTTTGAAGTTAAACGACTTATAAGCTATATAGCTTGAATTCACATTATTTATATACTATAACACAAAAGCATCATTACACAAAATGTAAGTGGAGTCAGAATATGGCTGTGCTTCTGACTGGATTTATCTGTAGGCCTATATTTAATCGTTCCTGTTTGAAGACCAGTTTGAGAAAACACAGATTTGGAAACGAGGGGCAGAAAATAAGTTGTTTTTAAAATGTAAAGCATTAAGGATATTAAAATTTTAAAATGTATAGTTATGGTAAATGTAAACATTGCGCACACGTTTGGCGCTCCTACAAATTCATATGTATGTAAAACATTGTCGGCTATTCAGTGTGTTTATTTATTGATTTATACTGGTAGGCCAGCGCATTTATTAATGTCTTTTCTAAATATTTAGAGTTGTCACAGTGGTCGACGTTGTGGGGTGGACCGATTTCCCCTCGCCAAAAAAAGAGAAATATTTCAAGCCCGCGTTTTGATAGGCGAGTTATCAATCAGAACCGTATCCGATAGCTGGCCTCTTGCGCTTCCCAGCAATTTACTAACCCCGTCCGTCTTTACCATGAACCTTTTAACGCCAGAATCTACATTTTATCTGGCTCCGCAATGTCTGCTGTTTCTGAGCGCAACTCCAGGAGGGAGAAAAAAAATAAAACGTAGTAATCGTTACATAGAATTTCAGTTTTGTTGCTGTTGTTAAAAGTCAATTTGGTAGGCCTATATAAAAAGTTAAAGTTTAAATAAAGATTTCTTTTTATCATTTGCTTAATTCACGATAAATTTAAATTCGTGATTTGCTGCATTTTACTTCAAGCAACGAATAATAATAAATAAATGTTTGCCTAATAATACTTAAGCTAAAAATCGCCCCTGACAATTACAGTATATGCCACATTTAGTGTTTTATATGTGTATATTGTGGATATTGTTTTGCTGCGTGGTAGTACAGGCCAAGCCTCTAATTCGACAAAAGTTCAAGCGTTTTACTGGGCTGTGAGTATTATGAACAAAACAATCTAAAAAAAAAAAACCTCTTTACCTACTACTTTGGTGAAGCATTTTGATCACACTGCTATTAAGTGAGTAACGATTGTGTGCGAGTAAGGTATGTTTACTGAAGTACACGCTTTAAAGATGCACAGTAGCAACGCTCTTTGTTGAAAGAGTACGTATGTAAAATATAGCCAAGTAGCTAAAAGTTTGATGCATTATTGCCTTTGAAGCGAACGCTATTACTGCCGAAATATAACGCTAAAACATGTCTAAAACAAGGAATCCCGGGATTATATCTGAGCGCAAGAAATGCAGACATCAGGTAAGCTTCTTGTAAATCTTCTACCGGCCTAACTCGACCTTTGCTTTGCTTGTTCCCTGTTTCCTATTAAACATAAAAATGACTTTTTTATAACATCACCTATGCTTCGAAACTCCGTAACCGCTTGTTTTCTCATTCAAAACATATGCCGCCCGGTCAGGCTGATAGGAACGTTCCGTGCACTATTTGACGACCTGTTGCGGACATGTCGCGTGAGTGGTATTTGATTGGACTGTCATGTCACGGTTCGTACTCTTGGAAGTATTTTGATGCCCCCGGCCTCAAAACACTAAAAAAATCACCATTCACCAAGGCCTGAACATGTAATGAAGAGTGTTTTCCTCAACTGGAAATAAGTAGTGGAAACAAATTTGATGCCATTTATCTATTTTAAAATACCTATTTAAAAATATACGATTAAAAAAAAAAGTTGTCGATATGCACCTTGTATTGCAGAATCATGTTAATAAAATTATTTTAATTAACGTCTCCAAAAATATTTTATTTATCAATGCATGCAGCAAACGAACTAAATTCGTTTAAAAACAAACAGTGGTTTATTGAATTAATTACATTGTTTACATCTCCAATATTATTTAATTTTCTTGCAAATGGACGGAAGTGCACTTGAGTGGACGGAACATCTCTTTAACATCACCAGACAACCACAAAAAGACAACACAACACTTCGTAACATTAAAATGTCTCTTGAATCGCATCAATACCATTTTTGCTCCATTAATATTTTATATCCTAAGAAACGGTGGAAGAAATAGAGAGTGAGTGAGGGGGGAAAAACTTTGCTTCACATACACGTTATTGCCAAACATGTTGCTTGGCTTACACTAGGAAACACATTCACCACAAGAGACAAAAATACACAATCCCTTACCAAAAAGGTCTTCTCCTCTTTAAAAAATGGAATGGTTTTCTTCAAATATCCACTCTCCATTTTTGGGAAATTGCACATAAATATTCCATTAAATAATGCGAGAGTACAAATTAAAAAGGAGTCTAGAAGACTTTTCAAGTCATTGGGGGCGATTCTTCACTGTTTGAGTTCCAGCGCCCAGACGTGCTGCGGCCACCCCGTTCTTCCTTTGGTTTTCTTGTCGCTGTTGCTTGCAGAACTTTTCAAAACTTCATTCTGGTTATACAGTAAAAAAAAACGGGCATTTTATTAGATGCATTGTTTACGCAGCTTCATGCGCGTGGCGGTACCTTTCTAACCTTCCATTAGTGGCCTGACGTGGCCTGTGGGTAACAGTTTTTCCTTAAATTATTCTGCAAAACATTTTTATGATGGCGCCAATCGTAAGCGTTTCATTAGAAGGTTTGTATTCAGTAATTACTGCAGTCTTGGAGCCGGAGATTAAAAGAAAAGTCCAGCAATATTCACATTTTTAGTAATTGCTATTTTTAACAGTATACGTACGTCTGCCGTACAGTAAAATGTGCTCTTGATTCTTAAATGAAATCATGCTAATTATATTAATATTTGCACATGCAACAAATGTATCTTCTTGCATTTATGATATTTATGATATTTTAGATATTTTACTGTTTTCTTACCACTTCTTTCTTTCTCCTCTCCTCTTTGGCGTCCGTCTTTTTGAATTCCGCTTTAAAAGCTTCGGCTTCTCCGTTCTGCTCGTCCTTGTCTAAAATGTCCATGAGGTAGGCGATGTAGCTGGTAGCCAGCCGAAGAGTCTTTATTTTTGACAGCTTTGTGTCTGCTGGCACGTTGGGGATGCACTCTCTGAGCTCGGCAAAGGCGCTGTTGATACTTTGAGTCCTACGCCTCTCCTTTCGGTTGGCCGTGGGTCTCCGTTTGACGGGACGGGGTCCGATTCCGACGGCGCCGGCTCCCGGAACTCCACCGTAATGCGAGTGTTCGAGACCCGCCGCACCATTTGCATATTCGGGACTGTACGCGGGTGCCATGCTGTAGTCGGGTGGAGACATTTCTGGATGGCTGATGAGCCACCCGTGGAAGTACGGATTTTCTTCATGGCATCGGCTGGCAGCTGCGGCCGCGGCAAACGAGTAGCCATCGTGATGCACCACGGGATGGTGAGGAAATCCTCCGACTAAACTCATAGTGAAGCAAAGCAAAACTGTACTTTGTGGAAAATCTAAACAGGCACGTTCTAGTACTTTTAGTTTACGTCGGCGCCTCCACGTGAATTACGCACGCACAGCGCTCGTGGATTCTTGTCACTTTCACTCAGTTGCAATGGACACTCGTTTTATACATCTCAATTAAATCCAAAGAAATCACCACAGCAATGCACGTTGGTCAATCAGTCTCAGCTTCTCCTGATCGCCTCCTAACTGTGCTCAAACTTTGCGATCTGCCCCTAAAACAACAAGGTCAGCTACTTACACGCAATTTCTCCATTGTCCATATCTAGCGCAAAAGAGATCCGGCCGCGTTATTGAGTCTCAAAGTACATTTTCTATCTGCACGTTAGAGGGGAAATTCACTTTGCTATAAATTTAAGGCCCGCAGTGGAATTCAGGGACCGTGGCATTCGATGACAACGAAGCCTAGTTTTCCAAATCCTCGTCCGTGAAATGTGTGCAGTGTACAGCCTTACTGCTCAGTCCTAAAAGCGCTCCTCCGTTTGATCTCCATGTCGCAGCTTCATCTTCTGAGCTCCACGGCTTCATATATGTCGTCAGAACTCCTCTGAACCAATAAGCGCGCGGAGTAGGAGGGACATAAATATATTGCGGGGTGTTTACGCTCCTAAATTTCAATGACCCTCTTCGGTATTGGCTGCTTTCACATTCTTATTGAAGTCATTAAGATTATGAAAATATATCGGCCACAACCAATCTAATTATTTCAATTAGAATAATATCAACAAACCTAAATTCCATCTTATCATCCCCTCTAATGCAGTATATTTAAACATATCAAAATAAATAACTTGAAAATGAAACAACAGTAAAGTTTAAAATCTGACCCGTTTTGTATATAATTATACTCATATGTTAAATCTGACTATAACACTAAATGAAAAGCAGGGTGTTTATGAAGCAACGCGATTTTTTTTTGCGTTGTTATTTGTCGCATTTTTCCATGGGCAGACGCACCGAGTTACTGAAATACTTTTATATAATACTTTTGGTAGACCTCGTACACTAATTATTAATCACACTCGGACTTACTCAAAATCTACGCAAAATAACTATTGCTTTACTTTCACTGTGCAAACTATATCCTCTTACACCTTTTTGGAATTAATCCTCGAAATGAAGGATTATACTGCGCAGCATTAAAATAAAAAAATAAATTTTAACGTTAAACTTGTACTCGCACATAATATCTGTAACTAGTATCCGGCGTCCTTGTAGAATATTTAAAAAGTGAATACGAATAAAATGTTTTCTAAATACCATCGTTTTATATGCATTGACAAAATACAAATGGCGTTTTAAGGACAGGGTATATGTATGCTGCTGATAGAACTGACGCATTGAGATGTCATCGTTTATGCCGGTTATATGGGATACCTGTTGCCACGAGAATAGGCTATAGGCTACATATTAAGACAGTTAAGCGATAACTAAGAAATGTACACCGGTTACATAAGACCTTCCGTAAAAAGGGCCGAAAGAACGTTGTTTGATGCGAAAGGTCAGATACATAAGATCGTGTGATATTTCCCTCTTAAAAATTAAACCAGTGGATGCGTGAGAAAATGAACAAAGCCGACCTTTTAGATAGGCCCCTTCGGCTGGAAACAGATGCCGACAGAAAAACCCAGTTTAAAGGTATGTGTCAGTGTCCGCAATATTTAATGTTTTTTTGTTATGAGTATCGTTTAGCGTGTTTTAGCGGGCTCCTTGCTTAAGTACATAATGCCAGATTTCATTCACAAAACACAGCGCCGTATCCGCTGCTTGCCTATATGACCAGCAAGTAGTTCTTAACTAAAATTGTGACTTAACTAAAATCCTACGCGGCGCACTAATTTGTTTGCTTGTAACCAGTGCATTAATCCCGTTTCACCGTGGGTAGAGCATTGTACAGAACATTTTACAGGCCTAGAGAAAACAGAAAACATGAAATACACGTAATTTGGCAATAGGAGAAAAACCGTCCATCTTTAACATTTATAGGCAGGTAAGGGACATTTCTAAATATATGTCTGTAGATGTATATACCATATAGAGCTCCATATTGTAAATACCGCTTTAATGTCCTATCATAACGCACAGCACACAAACAACGAAATTAAATTCAATTGAAGCGACGGGATGTAAACGTGTAACAATATCCCAAACGAAGGCGCCCTTTAAGGCCGGGTTATATTGTTGCAAAGGCTTCGGTGATTTAGTAACAATATGCAAAAAACTACTACAACTCCTTCTACTTCCGTAGGATCTGCCTTATTCATGATTTAGATATGGCCAACTGATATTTTTGGATGCGTCTTACTGGTGTTTTATGTTGTATATGTGCTGACTGGAAATATATCTGCTGAATAATAATAAAAAAGCAATAAAAACGCTAATATCTGTCAATATGTATTGTATGTTACCCGCACACGTAAACAGACACATACCACATACAACGGTACTTGATTTGTAGTATTTGTGAGCGCTGCCCAAGGTTAATCAGTAGTCACATTTATAGTCTGGTCCGTACAAACAATATTCCGTAATGTAGGCCTTACACTAATTATAGAAAATAAAATGGATAACCAAAATAAATAAATAGTAACTTTGCATGTATCTTATTGAGTCTGAAAAGGGTTATCAGCTATTACTGCATGTTGTTATTAAATAAATAAGATGATTAAATACGCCATCGTTACCATTTTCACTGAAAAAGCAGTTCTAACGAATGATGAAATGCAATTAAGTCTTTTGATGAAATCGCAGAAATTCAGTAACATGTTTCCGTAAAATCGCGACAGACTACGTCGTGAGGAAAAGCCTGACACCGCGACCGTTGCATGCATATGTGTGTACATGTGTGCATGCTTGTGTGCGCGAGCGCGCGCCCGTTGTGTGTGGGTGTGTGAGTGCGCGCGTGTTAAAATTCACAAAAGCACGTAGGAGGGCACATGATTTATATTTGTTTAAGTGTTGTGTGAGTGTGTGTGCTGCAAGTGTAATTCGTGGTCTGAATGGAAGTTCTTTGAGTAATTTGGATACGTTCAGTCTCCAGTTAATGACATATAATCAGGCTTTGGGTCACTTGGTCAGACTCCTATTACAAACCCCGCCCACGCCTTCTGATCTCCTTTCAAACCGAATTTCATATAAATAAATAAGGTTATGCAGAGCCAAATATTTGAACATGAGAAAAGTGTCTGATAAACGGCATATAAATTCAGCGGAATCTTGAAGTTAAAGGGAGCTCATCCCGTTAATAGTGTGTAATGCAGTTCGCTAAACCTTTTCGGGCAAGTTTATATTATAAACTCATCACAGGAAATTTCATTTATCAATTGTACTAAAATTAGAACACTAGAACAACAATAGGGGTTGTTAATGTAACTAATAAAACCACCACGAATATATCGTTGTAATCGTTTCAGAGATAAAGAAAATCATTCATAACTGTGGATTATAGATCATGTAAAACTGTTTTTTTTCCCCTCGGCAGGTCACGGTCTGTACTGTTACTGTAGTTCTAATAGTTTTTCAAAATAAAGTGGAACAACTTACAAACGCAGTGATATTTGCAATGGTTAAAACGTGCTATAGGTTATCGATAATTCGGTTTTGTTGAGAGACCAAGAGATTTCCATGAATCCTGCATGGAAAGGACTCGGAACAATTATAACATTGTAGTAGAAATTATTTCTGTTAATGTACAATGCAAACAGCCACACTTAATAATAATAATAATAATAATAATAATAATAATAATAATGATGATGATGATGATGATGATGATGTATTTTAATTCTCAATTTCCTGGCCGCCAGTGCTTTGTCCCATTGTCATTCCCGTGACCATTATTTTACATTTCCCGGTAACGTTGTTTGTGGATGCCAACATCCCAGCGAAAAATCAGGCAGAAGATGGGTTTGGTTTCGTTAAATCGGCCTGACTTGGTCGCAGTCTCCGCATCAGGAGAGGTGACTGATACCGAAAAGTCGCCTCCCGTCTCCCACCTCTGCGCGCGGCAGCCCCGGCGCCTGTAGCCTGCTGTGGAGCCCGTTACCTGCAACCAGCCGTTCGCGGTTTAAGTCTTTAAGCCGTTTCACACGCCAGCTGATAAGAAGCTGACTAATGCCCTTTAATCTAAGGAGGATTCCGTATACATTTAATTTATATTTCCAAACTACAAGCATTTGCGTTTGAACATCAATTAATTACCAATAATAAATCACACGGAGATCCCTCACGTCGCTTAGGCTACACTTCTAACTTAATATAGGATTAAGTTAAAAGCTAAACTCTTCGTTATGCCATTGCTCTGGGTATTTTGGAAGTAAATGGTAATATTTCTGTAATTCTCTTTATTATATGTGTAGGAGGACGCGTAGGGAAATGAAAGCAATAGAAATACGGATATATGAGATATACAGGGCGCTAGTTAATCCCAGCAGCCGTATGTCAGTGGTAGCTAAAAGCGGGGTTTACTTCATGTTTTTCCGTTTGATATGGGCTTTTCTTAAACCTGGGACTGGATTTAATTATCACACACCGCCCCGGTGTTATTGCTAATTTCGGCAACCGTTGAATTGAAATTGCTATTGCAACGTGAGAATTGTTTGATCGCCCCCCCCCCTCCCAAAAGACAAGATCAGCGTTATGTTTAAATTTAAATTTAACAATTTAAATTTGCTTACACAAGTTGTTCTATATAAGGCTTTCTTGTATTTCTAAAAATTGTTAAAAGAAAAAAAACAACAGGATTGATTGATCTTCTGGAAACTTCCATTGCTGTTCTCAACGCAATTTTAAAAGTATTCTCCTCATGAAGGGACTGATAAGGAAAAGGGTCAACTCGTTGTAGGAGAGCTTGAGAGGAAACTTTGTGGAGGCAGTTACAGCAAACATCTTTGTTGATTACCGGCCCCCCTCCCTGACCTTTTCTCAGACAGCCCGTCAGACGACACTATTGGGGACCACCTTCCACCTGCTTCTGCTGCGACTCTGAGCTGTAAT